GGAGATCGGCAGCGTTGCAGAGAATAACACTGAAAAATTACACAACAATGGGGAAAGTACAAGAGGAAAAAAAGAGACCTCTTCTCACGCTGGGCACCTATGGGAGGACAGCATGAGAACAGGAAACAAAAAAAACTCCTCTGCACAGAGAGCACATTATCAGTGTAAGTGTATGTAAGTGTGTGCGTGTACAGGAGGAGTGCGAAGAAGAACAAAAAGGGGGTGAGGGGGTGACACCAGTCGTAAGACAGGAGGCGCCGCCATGTGGTGATACACTGCATTACAATAGCAACTGTTACAACATCCTGTATCTTTTCCGGGGGAGCACCAAGGCATTCCCAGGACAAATGAGAAATAAACACCCTCCAGTGTGTCCTGGGTCTACCCCGGTGCCTCGTCCTAGAAATGTTTATTCATTCTAAAATTTAGACTATTTATTTCAAAAACAACACAGGAGGAATTATGACTGCACCAACCCGAATTTTGATATAAAGAGCACAGCACTCAGGTATTGCAGGTATTACTCTTATTTTATTTAGGATGGACTGATATTTCCAGCACGGTGGCACGGTGGTTAGCACTGTTGCCGCACAGCAAGAAGGTCCTGAGTTCAATTCCACCATCAGGCTGGGGTCTTTCTGTGTGGAGTTTGCATGTTCTCCCCGTGTTTGCGTGGGTTCTCTCCGGGTATTCCAGCTTCCTCCCACCATCCAAAGACATGCAGCTTGTGGGGATAGGTTAATTGGATAATCCAAATTGTCACTAGGTGTGAATGTGCAAGTGAGTGTGAATGGTTGTCTGTCCCTATGTGTTAGCCCTGCGACAGACTGCCGACCTGTCCAGGGTGTGCCCCGCCTTTCGCCCTATGACAGCTGGGATAGGCCCCACAGTGCCCCCCGCGACCGTGAAAAAGGATAAGCGGAAGCAAATGGATGGAATGGATGGATGATATTTCCACTACATAATTAAACCAATGAAGAAAAACAGCACACAGATTTAGTACTGCAGGAGCCAAACTTTTACTGAGTAATTAGTTAAAAACCAAACAAAAACAATGTTAATCTTAATAAAGTGAAAAACTGCAACACAATGAAAACAAAGAAACCCCTTCCATATTAAAAATCCATAACAAAACCATGAAGTTAGTAGCACTTAATCCTATGGCACTTTTGAAAGCACAAATAAACAAAAAATAAAACAACATCATATAGATTTTTAAATCTTTTAAAAAATCAGATCTTTGAAACTCTAAAAGGCTTTAAAACAGTACAATACATTGAGCGGAATTTAAAATGTCTAACAATTTAATTGGTTATACTTCACTCATCTTGTGTTATAACTGACAAAATATTTCTGTAATGTCATGTTTTCAAAACTTAAAGTTAAAAGACTGAGAAAACAAAAATGTAACCCCCCTCCCCCCAAATAAAATTAAAAAATTAAAAAAAAACTCCTATTAGATGTTTTGACTTTACTACATCAAAGCTTTCATAGATGTCACAAACCCATAAACAAAGTACTCATTTGACCCAAACAAGCAGTGGAAGTAAATTTCCTCCGCGTGAGAAAGTCTGTTGTTCAATCTGAGCTGTTAGCAGAGATGACACATACATGACTAGAAATTCTGAGCACATGAAAAAGTTTAAGCCTCCAATTTATTGAATATAGTCTTTATTTGAAGCAATTTTTTTCTAAATATCTTACTCTAAAACTAAAATGACCATAACAAATACTTCTTGTGCACTGATTTTTAACAGCACACATTTCATTTTGTTTTTGCCTTTACATGTAAACACAGAAATACTAAAAAAAAAAAGAAGACTTGGATTCTCCTTCCCATGGAGGTGTTGAGCACAAACATGAATCCCCCTCATTATCTTTGATAATTCACATTGTTGTTTGAAGTTGTCCAGCTGTGATCTAGGACACACTGATCTCCAGCAATCAGTAAACATAAAATAAATTTAAAAAATACAACAATGGTTTTTAGATGTTAAAAAGTTTGTTTGTTGTAAAAATATTCAATCTTCCTATAAAGAATGGGTTAGTGAACATATTTACATTTCATATGTTGTATTTATAACTTGCTACACTGATTTTCAATGTTTAATTTGTTTTGCTCATATAGAAAAAAGTCCTGTGTTTGGTAATTTGTTTCCTTTCACACATATACTGTTGCCAATAGGAGCAATAGAAACATATAATCTAGGGGACAGGGCTTTAATTTGTAACATATCTGCCAAGACTGTTAAGAAGACTTAACAAAATGATGAAAAATGATCTCATCATGACCATAATATGAACATGTGCACTATACCACTCTAACTATTAATTAGCAACTATTGTTCACTCAGCATTTTATTTTACTGGAGATTCACTACTATCCGCATCTTTGTTCTGAATGCCAAAGGCCACAGGACCTCTGATAGTAAATCCGAGGTAAAAGGTAACTTGACTTTTTTTCCAAAGGCTGTTCCTCAGATTGGCATTGATCTCAATCTCTTTACCACCAACTCTTGTATACACTCTGTAGTTTCTTACTTCTCCATCAAGTCTGAGAAGGAGGTCTTGAACAGCAGGATTTCTGAAGATTTCTTCTTTCTTCCAGTTATCGCTCCAATCTGCTTCAATCACTTTCAGATGTTTTTCAATAATTTTTCTGTGAACAATTCTCTTCAGACCTTCACCTTTCCCAATGAAAAACAATGGAAGTAGATACCTGTTTCGAAAGAACTTCTTATATGCATTTTCATAAGAGTTGTGCATTTGCTGAGACAACTCACTGAGGTCAAAATCACATTCGTCTATATTTTTGGGCCAGTCCAAGAGGATAGCTAACATGTGCAGCTCAGGTGGGTCTGTGTCAGTCAGGGGCATTTTCCCTCTAAATTGTGTAAGGATGTTGTTGACCAGAGCTGTTTTTGAAACTTCAATTGGAAACTGCATTTCTCTACACTTTGTAGATATTTCTTTGCACTCTGATTGAGTGTATTGTTTGACAAGAAATGACAGTACTTCTACAGACTGGTCATCTAGGTTTCTTTTCTCAAACATCTGGATGAGTTCTTCTGTGGTTGTGTTTCCAACAAATTTTTGGTAGCAGTTTTTGCTCTTGCCAAATATATATTCAGGATCATCGTTCTCCATGTTAGGTTTTGAATAAGTCAGAAATTTAAAAAAAAAGCAACACCTTTTGTCAACTTCATTCCTGAGGCTTACTATGAAATCGTTGAATTTTAAGAGTTTGGTGTCTGGTTTGATGACAGAGCCCATTGATACTTCTGTTGTGAGAACTTTTTCCCACTTTTTTTTTTTTCTGGAAAGTCTCTCAAACAGAATATTGCAGACCATCAGGTACCAAAACTTTACTCTGTAGTTATAAAAAGATGAGATGTTTGTATTGCCATGTTCTCTCACATCTGGTCCATCTTCATTCTCAGCAAGGTTTTCTGCATTTTCAAAAGCTTCAATGGCTTTTTTGGCCCGCAGCAAAATTTCTCCTTGTTCGACAGTAACTTTGTTGTTCTTTAGGTGGTTCTTATGGACTTGGCCAAGTGTGTCAGCAACAAAAGAATTTTGAGGATTTCTGTTTATTGCGCTCTTTGCCCAATTTTCTGCTTGCTCGTAGTCTTTCAGTTTAATGTAATAAAAGCGAGCAAGAGCTTGTGGAAAGTTTGTACTTTGACCAAATATTTTTGAGGCCATCGTTAAAACTGACACACTCTGGCCTTCACCTTCGTCTGTAATATCTCGAATTAATCTAGAAAACTTTTCCTGTTTAATTTCTGTGCTGTTGACTTTTCCTTTTCCTTTCCTTTCCTTTCCCTTTTCCTGTTCCTTTTCGTTTTTCATTTCTCTTTTGGTTAACATGTCTTTGACAAAATCAAGAAACCATGGCGGAATTGGATCTTTGAAAAAATTCCTCAAGAAGTTTCTTATTGTGTCACTTCTGGTCACACCTTCATTTGCCAACAGTTCAGTACAACACTGAGCTATCATATTGTGAGCCATGCAGACTTTTTTTTCGGATCTTTCATTTTGTTGGAAGGTAATAATGAGATGATTGAAAGGCTGCATTTGATCCTCCAGTGAAAGGCCATTATAGCTGTCTTTACTGAGAAACTTCAGGCACTGAGACTCCAGGAGATATGAACCTGGTACGTAGGCGTTCAGCAGGCACAGGAAGGTGGTAAGCTGCGTCTTTAGTGGTTTTTTTGTTCTTTTGATATGTTCTAATGTAGCACATGCATTCCTGATGTAGGCTTGAGAGAACTTAGACTGCAGAATGTTAAAACCATGAAACTGCTTGCACCGATCACCAAATCTTCTGCCAAGCTCTGCTTTTTTCATATCAAAGTCTGGTTGCTCTCTGGCTAAGAGAGATTTTTTGAGAATTATAGATTTTCTCATTTTCTCATTTTCTTTTTGTTTGTCAGAATGTTCCTTTTGGTGGATAAGCCCATCACTACTTCTCACACAGTTGAGTAAAATGACCACAGGCATAACAGCATCAATTTCTTGTTTAGTCATTTCTGTTATAATGCTGTGATGGAGATTTTTCAGGATTGGCTCATCATCATTAACTAACAGCAACACAGTGTTCTGGTAGTTTCGACTGCCTGCCATGAAAAGTCGGACTATCTCATTTGCAACTTTTGTGATATCTAATGTTGAGCCTGTCAAAACAGCACATCTGAAGGTTTTCCTCAAGTCCCACAGCACCTGCATAGCCAGTGTGGTTCCCCCACATCCTTGTTGATGGAACAGTTTGATTGTTGATGTCACAGGGCCTTTTCTTCTCAGGTGAATTTGTTCTTTAAGGGTTTTATATCCATCTCGTTTGATAAAAGGAGTTGCATTGCCATCTGACACTGCTTGTTCACTGATATAGAAGTTTAACCAGTTCGGTGGGGCCCCTCTGTAAAAATTCTCTTCTATCTTCTCTATGAGTTCGGGATCAAAAATTGCTCCTTCAAACTGATTTGCATGAAGAATATCCAACAGCGTGAGGGAATCTCTGAATCCGCTCCCCACATACACTTCTCCACGATTAGCAGTGGACAGGGCTGGTCCATTTGCCATTTTCAGGCTCAAGTGTCCTGTGCCAGGCAAATGCTAGAAAAGAAAGGTAACTTAGTTTGGACTGTTAATCAGTGCTAGAAGGGCAAAATGAGAACTGAAACATATTTTTGCACATTTACAGCATCACATACATAAAAACTGTATGAATGTGATTCATAAATCCATCAACATCTTCGCAGATGCAATTTTATAAAGTATATTCTTACCTTGTCTTCCAGTTCTTGCAAACGTAGCTGAACTCTTGTCAAATTTTCTGCTGATCTGTGACTGGTAACTATGAACTAAAACCTGTGAAACAGGTAGCTGGTATATATAGTATATAGCCACATGCCACACCCAGGTAGGCATGAGCGTGAATGTTCACACCCATCAGCATTAGACTGTGAATACAAAAGTGACTTTTATGCTATGATCAAAATGTTAGAAGGAATCAAGTTAGAACATATTCGCTGTCACAGAACAAGGTAGACAGGAGTGAGGCATATTTGAGATATTTAGATGAAAGATAATTAGCAAGAATTTAGTGATGAAAGATCAGGGAAAAAGTTAAGAGGGAAATCTTGTATATCAGTGTTCATGGCAATTGATGAGGAAAAATTTAGATTATTGTATTCTTACTTTCTTACTTTTCTTACCAGCAGTATCGTTTTACTGCAGAGGTTGGACATTTCTGGTAAAGGGTGGGGTGTGTTCAGTTACTGGCAACAAACCATGCAAATTCTTTACCAATAAATTTGTAACACGGTAACGGTGTAAAAAAAATGAAGGTCAACTACTAAATTAATTTTATTAACATGAAAGAGAGTCATATTAGCATACTTATTTTAAGGGATGTAAAGGTTTCAGTCATCTGTCAGTCCGCCCCAGGGCAGCTGTGGCTACAATGTAGCTTGCTATCACCAGTGTGTGAATGTGTGTGTGAATGGGTGAATGACTGAATGTAGTGTAAAGCGCTTTGGGGTCCTATGGACTAGAAAAGCGCTATACAAATGCAGGCCATTTACCATTTACCATTCTTATTATGAAACTGCATTTCTTCACTATTGATTCTGACTGTCTCTGTAGGCACGTGTGTCTGGTTTTAACAGTGCTACAGTACAAAACTCATGTTAAAAAAAAAAAGAAAAAAGAAATTACTAAATGAATTCAAGCTTTAAAAAAATTGTCCATGTTATTAAAAGGTATTTTTTCTACTTTTGTTTCATTTCTTTCACTTTAAGTTTTCTTTCATTCTCATAGCAAAACCTACAACTGCATTTCTTCACTGTCAGATTTTACTGTTAACCTCTAAACCTGCCAACTAGGTTTTTACTGGGTACTGAGGTTTTAATGTAGCACCTGGAGGAACACTGGAGGAAGTTTTTAGGATATTTTTTTAGCAAAAGAACCAAATAAAACTACTACTATTAATATTACTATTACAAGTAAAAGTTTAATACTGAAAATTTCTCTAAAATGTATTTCAATATAACTGCTGCAGATGGGTTTAAGTAATCTTTTTGGAAGCCACTGTCCCAAGCAGGAGAGTATATTAAAAATGGCCATGTACTTCTGTTATTTACGTTATGCAGTTCGACCATCAAGTTCTCTAATCTATGTCATGACAGAATGGGAGTCTGCACTAGACTTAGGAGTTGACTGATGAGGTACAGGGAAAAACATAACTGAATTTGTGAAAGATAGACTGAAAATCTATGTTTACATGACAAAAAAATCTGAAAATCACCTTGATTGAAGGAATAAGATACATCTTTAAACTGTGATCACATTTTCTGAGTAAATACTATAAAACTCTGAATGATTGGCCATTATTATTAAAATGTGGCTAACCAGCTTTTGTTTGTAATTGCTAAACACCCAGGGTTGTCTAAACAAACGGAACGGAGTCATAAATTGAATGAGTCATATTTCCCCCTTTGTGGTTGACCCAGAACCAGAAATTTAGGCATGTTTCCCAAAAATAGATTTTCAACATTGCATATCCTGACATTCCCAGTAATGAAGAATGTTTTGACATTTATATTCTATAACCCAGGTGGAAACTGGAGCTTGTGTTATTTCTAAAATGCTTAAGATAGCTTTGACCCAGCTGTTTAATTAAGTGTCTCACTTCTGTTTCGTCTAACTAATTGGGGTTGAAAGAACTTGTCTTTAGCTAACTTGACTTTTTGCAACTGTTGTTCAAAAAAGTTCCATTAATACATTTACTGTTGTAATTTTGAAGTTTATGAGGGCAATGAGTGCGCAATGCAATCATTTTAAGTGTAAAGCTCAACTGTGTAACTCGTATTTCTCCTTGGTAACTGCACCTGTAACTCGTTTGTATCTCTCATCTCTAACTCTGCATAAGCACACCACATTGCCAACCTTGAAATTCAAAACTGACAGCAGCATGTTAATTTTATGGCTCAGGGTAAAGTGAACACGTCCGACAATGACAACGATGATGAAGAAGAAAAAAAGAAAGGGTTAGACCCTCTTCATCATTATGATTTCTTTTTTGAATTAAACATACACAAATAAAATTAAATACAGATTTCCACTGAAGTATAGTCTCACACCATGTATGTAACATATTAACTACACAAACAAACATATATAAGCTCTAATTAATTCAATTAAGCAAACACACATATTATAAAACAAATTACTGATTTATTCAATTTCTGAAGAAAATATTACATAAATCAAATATTAAAATGTTTGTCCTTCTATGTAGTTGTTAAACTACAAATTATTAATCCAAAACTCAAATTATTAATTATTACAGCTTTAAGACATGCCATAGGCTTTCACAGAACCGCTTGACATGTGGGGGTGATGAATCCCTTCTAATACCCGTCCTTGTCTACACGGTTTTGGGGTTATTGTTTTCTTATTTTGATCCAGCAGTATCGTTTTACTGGAAACGTTTGACACTTCTGGTAAATGGTGGGGATGAGTTGATATGAACCGAAATGTTACTGGCAACAGGACAAACACTAAAGGAATTTTCTTTATGTGAAAGAAGACAGTGCTTTTAACATAGTTACTTTAAGGTATTTAGATTTTGTTTCATTCTCATAATGAAACTTACCACTACATTTCTTCACTATTGATTCTGACTGTCCCTACAGGCCTGTCTGTCAGAACATATCTGGAACTTTAAGGTGCTGAATGCCAAATCCTTTCATGTCAGCTCAAACTGTTAGAAGTCTACGAAAGCCAAACCAAAACCATAGGAAGCTTTCTTAGCTGTAAGTTAGACCTTTACTCACAGTGGAGCAGGTAATGACTCCATTACATTAATATTAGAATTAAAATGCTTCAGTGCTTAACCTCCATTGTCTGCTACTACAAAACACAATGATTGTTCAGCACAAACATCATGAAATGTTGCTCAAAGTCACGTCACAATTTCAAGTTCATTCACTCCAGCAGTGTGCAGCTGAATCAAGTTGGCACTTTTACCTAAGATGGCAACATTTTTACGCATGAAATGTAAACTTTGTTTGTCTCAATGAAAGCAAAAACATGTTTTTGTTGTGCAGCTCTAGAGAAATGCAGCACACAAGGTTAAAAACAAAACTTAAGCACAGTTTTCAGGAAAGCCAAACTTAATGCAACTCATTCTTCTAGTGACAGTTCAAAGGTACAATGGAAAAAAAACCCAAAACATTTCTGCATTCCTACAGTAACAACAGCCTCATTGTCCTTAATGGCATCTTACCTCTGTACAGCATTCTTGTGCAACACCTGCCACACTCAGAATAATCTAGATATAACTAGATGTGGACATAGTTTGCACACCCTCCCCCCGAGATGCTTCATCAAATATGAACTTACATATTTAGATGTGCTCACACTTCTGCATTTTATCTTTAACAGCTACAAACCACCAAGCTTCTCCTCACTACTTACACTAACTACCATGCACTCATATCATTACATTCTCCATCTATCACCCCATAAAAGCACATTTTAACCCTTCATTAAAACTTGACTTTAAACATAAAAAGGAAAAAGGAATTATGGAGTCTCAACTGATGACAGTGGTGTCTGGCCTAGTCTGGACTTTAAGAGGAAAATCCACCAGAATCCAAAATCCACCAGAAATACTTCTAGAAAAAAATCTGTCAGGTGATATTATTCATTTAAGAAAAAGCTTATAGGAAACACATCCTGTAGCTGAAATTACATTTCAGTCTTCTTAATTTCGCCTTGAGTGAATGTTTGAGTTTAAAGCAATACAACCAGTGAATTTTCTTTTGTTAACTCAGAAACTTGTTAATTTTTTAGCTGTAAGTTAGACCTTTACTCACAGTGGAGCAGGAAAGGACTCCATTACAATAATATTAGAATTAAAATGCTTCAGTGCTTCACCTCCATTGTCTGCTACTACAAAACACACATGCCTAGAGATAATGATTGTTCAGCACAAACATCATGGAAAATTGCTCAAAGTCACGTCACAATTTCAAGTTCATTCACTCCAGCAGTGTGCAGCTGAATCAAGTTGGCACTTTTACCTAAGATGGGAACATTTTTATGCATGAAATGTAAACTTTATTTGTCTCAACAAAAGCAAAAACATGTTTTTGTTGTGCAGCTCTAGAGAAATGCAGCACACGAGGTTAAAAACAAAAAACAAAACTTAAGCACAGTTTTCAGGAAAGCCAAACTTAATGCAACTCATTCTTCTAGTGACAGTTCAAAGGTACAATGGAAAAAAAACCCAAAACATTTCTGCACTCCAACAGTAACAACAGCCTCATTGTCATTAAAAGATCTGATGTGGAAAAAAAATGAAAAATTAATTCATATATGATATTGCTATATCACCTTTTGGATGGGGACCATTTTGGGTCCCGAGGGATACCAATGGATGTATATTGCAAAAAATCTTATTGCTCCAAAAATAATAATGCATCCAAATCAATTCTGTTATGAATTATTTACACATTCAAGGCTCTAATAACCTCATGGCAAGTAGTTCCATTTGCAACAAATTTTT